AAAACTGAAGTTTCTTAATACCACGGTTTTTTAAAAATACAACATCCAAACAGGGCGTAAGTCTTTGTTCTGTCCATCGACTATCTTTCACCCCAACTCCCCAAGATACTACCTCACCTCTTGAATACAGACCAATACACATAAACAATGTTTTGCAATTTTTAGAATTTTAACCAAATCTTGTACATGTTCTTGTCACCGAAGGGAATGACTTTGCCGTATTGGCTCATTTTACTACCCGTGATTTACACCCAAAATTTTACGATAAAATACTTGAACAACATCTGAGGCAGACGCTTCAAGCTTAATATTATCTGATACTCTCTTCATCTAGAAAAATTACGATTCTAGCATAATACCGAGTTCAAACTATTTTAAATTTAATTAAGTTTATTAAGAAATTATTAATATCTATGATATCGGTATGTGTTATTAAGATTCGTCATCAAAAGATAGCAGTGTAGTGCTACGATACACATGCAGTTAGCTGAGAGGAAACAACGACAAGACAATGGCTGAAAGTACTATTGGCTGAGAGGAAACAACGATACACATGCAGCACTAAGATTCGTTTGGCCTTGTTTGGCTTATAAGTCATGGCTGAAAGTACTGTTAGCTGGTTTGGTATGAGAGAAAAATACTATTCGTTGGCTGATAAGCCATGACTTATAAGCCAAATACGACCCAACGAACAGGCTGGAAGTGGTAACGATTTGGTAAAGCCATCAGGGTAGTTGAACAACAACAAATGATGGTAGACGTTAGTGTTAGCAGCCCCCAAGAACAAACGAACACATACTCCAGTAGGACGTCACCTCTCACTTACCAGCTATAGTAGAGAGGAGCCGAATCTTGGAGGGAGGACTAATAGCGCACATTTGGACGTTCCCCATATTTACAGACAGTTTATAAGTACAGCTATACTTGCAACTATTTTAAGTGCATCTTGAACACAACTCGGGATTTAAAGGCTAAACAGTTTGAATCTTTGTAATGTACACCCGCCTTATAAAATAAATGTAATCAAATGGAAATCTCATGATTTATTTCTATCTTCAGCGAAAGTAGCAATATCCGGGCTGAAAATTTGAAACGGTTCCTTCTACAAAATTTTGGCCACCCGTCGTGCTCACAGTGACCACAATTCCGTTTCAAAAAAAGCAGTGACCACAATTGTTGGTTCTACCGTTGTTTGCAGCACCAAACACGACAAAGTCCACTGCCAGGTTGAAAAAATTGCAAAAATGACACTCGAAAGATTGACTCCTGGTTACGATGACACTCGGGTGGATGACAGGTGGATCCATCTGTATCTATGAATATGAGGTAGTGTCAAATCTGCAAACGACCAATGTTTCGAGTCCCTTTTTGCAAATAGCTCATTTTTCAGCAGATTCCCGAATTAAGTACTCCAATTCCGTAACCACTCCTGCACGAATCGACGCGAAAAAGATGATTTCCTGACAGATTAGGAAGCGGCAGATCACCAAAGTTAACCAACCCATCCAACTTCCCAAACGAACCACTCTTATAAAAGCCTCATCAACACAAATCCAAAGAACACAACTCAAGCACACAAATACAAACAACACAAATCGGCAATTCAGCATTCAGTCCACAAATCGGTAATTCAGCATTCAGCCCACAAATCGGCAATTCAGCATCCAATCCAAGACCTCAGAGAGGCCTCTCGCGTTACCGAAGTGAGGAGAGAAATGGCAAGAGCAGGAGCGTCGGCCGTGGCGTGGTTCCTGGCGGCCGCCGTGGCGGCGGCGCTGGTGGCCTCGGCGTCGGCGCAGTCCGGGTGCACGACCACGCTGATCAGCCTGTACCCGTGCCTCAACTACATCAGCGGCAACGTGTCGGCGCCGCCGTCGTCGTGCTGCTCGCAGCTCGCCAGCGTCGTGCAGACCAACCCGCAGTGCCTCTGCGCCGCGCTCAGCGGCGACTCCTCGTCCCTCGGCGGCGTCACCATCGACAAGACGCGCGCGCTCGAGCTCCCCCAGGCGTGCAACGTCAAGACCCCGCCGGCGAGCAAGTGCAACTGTAAGTGCTCCACCCCGACCGAATCCCACCGGCGCAGAGCAGAGCTGCTGGCGCGTAAGTGCGCCATGATTTTTGCATATTGCTGACGCGTGCTAACCGCATTCGTTGCTTTGGCAGCTGCTGGTGGCGGCAGCGCTCCGGGCGCAGCGACGCCGGCCACGCCATCGTCCGGCGTACCAGCCACCGCAGGTAAGGCGACAAACAACCGTTGCTCGTCGGTTCAGCTGTCCACGGCTTCTTTCTTACATGACAGGGACCGATGCAGGAACCGGCACTGGATCGAAGACAACGCCGACGGCGCCGTACCTTACGTCCGGCGGTGCGTCCATCCGGGGGGCGGTGAGCCTGGTGCTAGCATTCGCGGCTGTCGCCGTCTATGCCATCTCGGCCGTGTGAGCATCTTGGCTCATCTAGCTCTGTTGCCCACGGCGTTTGGGGATTCAGACATTCAGGATTTGTTGTGTCACTGTACCGTATTGGTTGAGCATTGTCAAGTATAGAGAATTGGGCGTCGCATTTGTATTATTGTTTGTATTTGGTTGTCACAATAAAGAAAACTGTTCATGTTTTGAGGATTTTTACAGTGCTTGCAAAAAAAAATGTTGGCCCAAACCAAAAATATATGGGCTAGAAACTGTTTTCTAATTAATTTTTAAGAGTATAATAGTATTTTCACATCTTCTCCTGCAATGCGTGCCCCCTCTCTCATCCCTATCCTCTCTCGCGTCTCCCTCCCTGTCGACGCTCTGGCAAGATAATCTGACAAGCTCAAAGCCCGAACATGAACTTGACCAACATATCACCATTTTTGGATGTCCTGATTATAACTTTTGGCAAAACCTTGATTGTCCATGTGTTTCTTTCTGGTCATGGATTGTATCTCATTATCTTTTCTTATATACCCTTGATTTAATCTCGAGATGTTAATTTTCATTTCAAGTGTTTTGTCCACCCTCGACTTCCAAGTATGCTCAATCTTGTCTACGTGCCTTGACAAGAATTAGTGAAGTCAGTGCCTGCTTTATATCGACGCAGGACCTCAGTCAGCTATGAACTTAGTGGAGTCACATGCCCAAACGTCATTCAAGTGGTTCACCCCCAACATTTTGGAGTTCAAGGGAAACCTTTATATTATCTTTTTGACTATCTTAACGACCTCAAATGATAAAATTCAAAACTAGAAAGTTATAGATCTTAGCTAAAATTTCATTTAAAGTATCTTTATTTTACACCATACAAGAAAGATTTTTTAATGCCACAAATCTTGATACGCGATTAATATGTTGCTGGAATCTTATATTATTTTTTGAGTATATTAACAATCTCAAATGAAAAAAAAAACTCAAAAGTATAAAGTTTGTAGATCTCATCGAGAGCTACAATTTTCATATAAAAATCATCTTCATCCGAGGCCTTATGAAAAAGAAACGATTTTTCTAAGGTGTAGCTTGGTCGTTGACATGTAGATGTCATATCCATATGTAAGCGCTAAATTGACATGTCACGTAGAATAGCAGGTCGAGTAAACATCCGTTTAGACTTGGATAAGACCACATTTAGAGAATTGGTGGGGACCTAGATGACACCTCCAGACAATTAAAAATATATTTTAAGATTTTGAGACCCCCTTTGGCAAGGCACTGACTCCTGCTTCTTGCGGCTCCTCGCAGGGAGCCAGCCAAACAGGCACCTAAAAACATCTCCTTGCAAGGAGCTTGGAGGAGTTGGAGCCATTTTTTATAGAGGAGACGGAGCAAAAAAAAATGGCTTCTCCTGGCATTCTCACAAAACTAATACAAATTATTACAAAACTATAACTTTGAAATCATTTTTGTCAAACGTTTTCTAAAACAGCTGTAGCTCCACCAGAGAAGCTGCTCCACATGAGGATCCAAAGACGAAGCCCTTTTAGGAGGAGCCAGAGCCCTACCAAACAAAAAACAACTATAACTCCACCAGAGAAGCTGCTCCACGTGAGGATCCAAAGACGAAGCCCTTTTAGGAGGAGCCAGAGCCCGGGCTCTTTCTATCTCTGGCTCCATGCTACAACGCTAGAGGGGCAGATGGGAAGGAGCAAAAATTTTTTGGCTTATTTAGACTTCTTCATTTCATGAGGAAGGAGAAAAATAACTCATATGAACATTACTGCTACAGAAGCCGGTTCTGGAGGAGCTAGAGCTACATTACTGGAGCTAGAGCTGCATTATACTACAGTAGCCGATTCAAGAGGAGCCAGAGCTACATTACTAACCAGGAGGAGCCGGAGCTATATTACTACTACAGTAGCTGGTTCAGAGGAGCGGGAGCTACTAAAATTTGGTAGAGCCTTAGTAGACACTTTTTGCCCTTAGTTGACACCTCTAAACTATTTTAAGGACCGTTGTTAAATTTTACTCTTCTTCGGGGGTGTTTACAAGGTTTCAGAACCCCGAGTGCCTTTGCATTTTCCAAGAGCAGATATAGCATGTCTCAGCCCGTGTTTAGTTGGCCGAATTTTGGAATTTGAGTTACTGTAGCATTTTCATTTTTATTTGGCAATTAATGTTCAATCATGGACCAATTAAGCTCAAAACGTTCGTCTCGCGATTTCCAACCAAACTGTGCAATTAGTTTTTTTTCGTCTACATTTAATGCTCCATACACATATCGTAAGATTCGATGTGATGGCTCCTGTAACACTTTAAGAATTTAGGTTTGGAACTAAACGCGGCCTCACAAACAACATTATTTCACCTGCATAGGTAGGCAGATAGACTATTACATATTCCCGTACAGACATGCCTGCGCCGCTGCGCGCACACAGGCCCGAGCGTCACCCTCCACTGGACGTACATACATGACGCGACGCCGGCGAGCCAGCTACTTTATTCGACTCTAACCTCACCAGACCACCGCGGTGGCCACGACCGTCGAGGCCGATGAGCGGCCGCTAACTATACATCGCATGCATACAGTTACGCCGACGAGACCCTGCGGCTCTGGGGCCCGCGCAGGAAGACGGCATCCTTCTGTGCTCCGAGGACACGGTCCACCACCTCCTCGTCGTCCGCCCCGAACGCCAGCAGCTTCGCCGGCCCATCCATCAGCTGCAGCGCGCTGTTCCTGCCCGCCAGGAACACCTTCTCGTCGAAGTTGGCGTTCACTTCGAAGCAGAGGACGGCGAGGTTCTTGTCCTCGCCGGCGACCAGCGCGGTCGGGTGCCCCGCCGGGATCACGATGACGGAGCCCTCTTCGATGCGGGACTTCACCTGCCTGTAGCTTCTCGACTTCTGCCCGCGGCCACCTTGCTCCTCCTCCCGCTCCTCCTCTTCCTCTCTGCCCCACTCCCTCCTGCCGCGCTCGCGCTCCCGGCGCTGCGACGACCGGCCGCCGGAGACATGCGGGCACGCCATCTCGAAGTAGCCTTCGCCGCCGTCCACGACGATGGCTATCTTGTGGGCACGGGTGTTGTAGCTCAGCGTCATCATAGAACCCTGCACGTACGCATGACGCATGCCAGTATATATCAGAAAGCATCGGTTGCTGTTTCGATTAGTTTCGGCTGAAATTCTGAAAGAGATGCGAGCTAGCTTACACGGGAGATGTTTGCCAGGGCGACTTTCATGTCGAGCACCCGGAGGTGCGGGCACTCATCGCCGGTGATCTCGTAGTGCCTGCCGTGGCTGTTGGAGTGGGTCGGCCGCTTGCCCGTGAGGCTGGACGGCTTGATCTCCCACTTGGAAGAAGAAGAACCAGACTCACCACCCTCGCGGCTGCTGCGGCCTCCTCGTGAGCAGGACCTGCTCAGCTCCCGGATCTGTTCCTCGGACGCCGTCGTGATCTCGCCCTTGCTCTGCTTCTCAAACACTTTCTCCCACTCTTCCCGGCGAGTCTAGACACATGCATGGTCAGTTTTCAGATCTGGTTAGTTTGCTAGCTAGAGAAAAATCGATGCAAAAGAGAAGAAACCCGGTCGTGAGGACAATGAAGCGCATGCATACGTTGAACGACGCCTGGATTACGTCGTCGCTGAAGACGCCGAGGAACGACTCCGGGCTCTCGCCTCCGATGGGGTAGAACTCCTGCCGATCAGAGCACGAAGAAGTTTCGTCAGCTCTCTTTGCATGCCAGATTAAAGCACAAGAAGGGATGCAAGCGAGGCATACCTCGAAGCGTCCAGAGGTGGAGACGGGGCAGAGGAGCATGACGACGCGGAACCACTCCGAGTGGTGCGTGTTGGCGGAGTACACGACGGCGCCCGCGGGGATGACCATGACGTCGCCCTCCCTGACGCAGAGCGACTCCCTCCTCCCGCCGCGGAGGAGCACGACTACGCCCTCGCCTTCCTTGACGAACATCACCTCGTCGGCGTCGTAGTGGCTGGGCTGCAGGAACGCGCGCGGCGCGGCCTCCAGCTCGGCGACGCGGTAGTTGCCCACGGCGTCCTCCAGCAGCTCGTGGGTGAACCGCTCCAGCACCCTGAACCGTCCCTGCCGCGACCGCGTCCAGTGCCGGAAGCTCTCCTCGCCGTAGTGGTACGGCCGGCCGGCCCCGGAGACGGAGCCCGTGTCCGTTTGCCATGCGAGCGCCAGCGAGGAGCACACAGAGAGCAGGAGAAGGAGCACCAGGACCTTCATGGCGCCCGTCGTCTGTGGTAGCTAGTGTGGTGTGCAAGTGCGATTGTGCGTTCGATGCGAGGGTTCGTGGCGAGCTGCGGCGTATATGAAGGGGTGGCGCGGCGAGGGCCGCAGCCATGCGCGCCGCCAGGTGGAGGCCGTGGGCGCGTACGTGGCGAGGGGAAGGTGATGTGGAGCGCGCTGCTGTGCTGCCGTACTCGGCCGCATCCGTGCCGCCGTGTGCTTGCGTGCGTGCATGCATGCTAGCTTGCTGCTGGGCTGCCTGCGGCGAGGCGACAGCGGTGATGGGGGTGGGGACAATACGGAGCAGATGGAGCTGCGTGCTGGAGAATTGGGACTGTCACCACGTAGCAACGTGTACCATTATTCCGGGTTCCTGCATCCATCCCATATTCCCATCAGGTTACATTTTTTTTTCTTTTTCTCCCTATGGATTATGGAACACTGCATTAGTGCTTTACTGAAACGTTATACGGCCCTTTACTCCTACAACACTTGAACGAGGATCTATGGGCTCCTTGATAGGGTTCTAGCTCCGGTTAAAACAACTTCAAATCTAGCTTTTTTGATAAAATATTTTTTTTTGCTTCAGCTTCTCCCATTAGAAAAACTTTCAGTAAAACAATTTTTCTTAGTGATTGAAGCTTTTCTGATAAAATAGTTTTTTCTTTGCTTCAGCTTCTCTCGTTAGAAAAAACTTTTAGTAAAACAACTTTCTTAATGATTGTATACAGTAAAATACCCATAATATCTTTGTTTTTCATTAGATTTTTCTCATTCTTTTATCTTTTCTTTTTCTCTCTACACCTCATCAACCACAAGTTTCCTCGGCCTCATCTCCTATGTTGACACAACACTCTGCCTCACCTCCCTCGCCTACGAATCGCAAAAAGAAAAAAAAAAACTTCCCTCGCCTACGTTCAGGCTATCTCCAACAATAACACCCAAAATAAAAGATCCATTCGTCCTTTGGGTAGCGCTACAGGCAAAAATGTTCAATACCTATTCGGCATCTTCTCCAACAATAAGACCCAAAATAGAATCCTTTCTGCAAATGGGTTTCCAGGAGATAGGATGCCCATATTTAGGTTATGCCTCTCAGGCAACCCAAAATAGGTCTCCCGTATAGGTACTCTGTCGGAGGCTGATTTTGAGTCTCTTGATACCCATTTTGAGTTTGGGTGCCTATATAGGTTCCTTGTTGAAGACAGTCTGAAGGACGACACCGGCTCGGGCCCGCCGCCGCCCCTCCCACGACGCACTCCGCCTCCGCGTTGAGGGACCACACAGCCTCCATGTTGACCTAGCCGACGTCTTGCTACGTGTTGGCCTAGCCACGCGGTGCCTCTGTGCCGGGCGATGGCGCAGCTCCGGCCCGACAACGCGCCAGCCATTGCCTCTCCCTCCTACGTCCGGGCAATTTTATCCCGAGCCCACAGATGTGAGGATGAAACAGTAAAAGCCACAATTTTCAGTTCTTACATCCCACCTATGTGTTCTCGCAGCACGATTCGCGGGGCTTTACGTGCAAAGCTGGAGCCTCCCATGGTGATACAAGGACGTAGCTTGGTCCTCCACTAACTTCTATAACTTTCTAAGAAGATTCAGATATTACTGAAAATTGAAAACTGAGTTACTCAAAAATCTATATTATAAATAAACTATAAAAACATTTATTTTTCCCTTAAAAATCCTATACTATTTTGGAAGGCAAGTGTGTACCCCATATATATTTTTTTTTGTAGTATAGAGATATATACAATTAAAATTATGTGTAATTCCAATAAATAGACACACATTTTTTTAAATTATCGTAAAAGTATACTGTTACACAAATGTCTATTGTGATTTTACCGTAGCGTTAGCAGGGGACGTGCCCCACCCCCCAACACAGTGGAAGTTTTTTTAAATACCCCTATAAATGTTTAAATTTATAGCACAAAAATGTGACAGTTCATCCATTTTATCGTAATATTGTGATTTTTCGTTATGAATACTAACTACATATATAAAAACACTGAAAAGTTGTTGAGATGTACACTTATGTATATAAAAGGTGTCATCATATTTGTCCGACCTCCTTAATTAAAATTGCTGGTTCCACCACCGACAGAAATAAACATATAAAACTAAGCTTATATTAGAGTTAACTATTACAGTAGTCGCTATGAAACTTGCTAGTGAGAAAAGTGATGGCTATAAAGTTGTGTGCTCGTCTCTCTCTCCCCCACATCATCCATGTGCACTGTTTCAGATGGGCTCTTGCCATGCATGGACCTGGGCTAGCAACGATTGACGGAAGAATATAATTGTGCTGGGTTGCTGGCCCACGTTGATTAGCCCACGTAGCTGCTGCCCCGGCCGGCATGTGCCACTGCCTACTGCTGCCCGGCCTGTGCGTCTTGGCTGCTGCTCGGCCTGTGCGTTTCGGCTGCTGCTCGCATAAATCATGCACGGTATTCGTCTGGGCTTTAGTTTTGGGCTGTACGGAGGCGAGGTGTAGCCTAGGCGTCGATCTCGGGCCTCTTTTCTAGGCCTTGTTTAGATTCCAAGTTTTTTTCACTCTCTCTCCATCACATCAAATCTTTGGACACATGCATGGAGTATTAAATGTAGATAAAAAAATAACTAATTACATAGTTTGATTGTAAATTACGAGACGAATCTTTTAAGCCTAGTTAGACCATAATTAGACAATAATTGTCAAATACAAACGAAAATGCTACAGTGCCAAATACTGATTCCTAACCGCGAACTAAACAAGGCCCTAGTACAAGATGCCTCCGTTTCAAATTATAAGAGAGAGTTTGTAATTCTGCTACTATACTCCCTCCATTTCAAATTATAAGACGTTTTAATTTTTCTATATACATTGTTTTTACTATACATCTAGACATAATGTATATCTAAGTATACAACAAATGGACTATTACTTCACTTGCAAGTGTTTAATTTGTCTCTAGGAACACCCCAATCCTTGTTTTCTATCAATCGTTGAACACGGGAGATGTGGACTATGGAGCAGGGAGGGAGGAGGCCGCCCTGCAGGTATACAAGAAACTTAGAGACGCGGGGGAGAGAGGTGAGTAGATAGGGTAAGGAGAAAGGCGTCACGATGACAGACCTCTGCAGGTAACAAATAGCAAATAGCGGGTCTGTTGCGGATTGCGGATAACGGGCGCTAAGTTCCAATAACATTATATAATAATCGCATATAATTTAGGTATATGTATATCTTAAAAAAGGAATTTCTTACACATTAGAAAAATCAACCAAATACAACATAGTGTAAATAGATATTTTATTGTATTCGAGGAGTTAATTTTTGATAAATATATTTTAAATTAAGAATGGACTAGTTAAGTTCTGGACTTAGACCGCTATAGCGGACTGCTATGTCAAATAACGGCCGCTATAGTGGCTTGTTGCATTAAATAGCGGGCGCTGAGTTCAAACCCACTGTATGCAAACCGCTACGAACGCTATTTAGTACCTTGATCCGAACGAGGAGGTAGCAATGGTGCCTCTGCGGGCTTGAAGGAAAAGACATCGGGAGATTAGTGTTAGGCAGTGCCTCTAGTGGGAGGTTAGGAGAGGAGGGAAAGGGAGCATTTTTATGCTTCCCACATTGTACCTCCTTTAATAGCTACTTAATAGTCCAATTAGCTAGTTAATGTTGTTATCTTTGTATTCTTTTTTGGACGGAGGGAGTATCATGTTATTACCATGATTATTTTTATTACCTACTAATCAGATTGATCGGGTGAATGTTAGAGATGTAGGACTAATTGAGCTTATTCACTTTTTATCTATAATATTCAATGTTCCTTTTTCAGCTTTCTTTTGTACCAAAATACAAATGCCTATTTGGTTGTCATGTATACTCTTGCCAATGTATGTATTTCGCCATGCATGATTGTTACTATAGCGTGTGTTGAATGGAGGAAAGGAGAAATTTGATATGAGCCATTCTTTTTTACATATTACTGCTAAGAAAATCATGTGCCTATTGCTCTGTTAAGAAAATCATCTCTCCAATAATGTACTTTCGAATCCTTAAAAAAAAGACTCTGCAAGGACATACACGGAAGACTAAGTCCACTGTACAGGACGTGAGCATACGAGAGCGATCCGCACGCGCGCGCCGGGCTGACGGCCCACGGGGCAGACGCGTGCGTTCCGTGAATAATATAATGCTCGCACCCATGGCGGGCCGGCTCGCGTGCATGCTCCCATGCATGGTCTAATACGGATCGCAGTGTGTCGCGCACGCGCATGCATGCACGGGACGGCCTGGCCAATTCGGGTACTGTCATGGCCCTGTTGTGCTTACCCATGTTCAGTTTGTTCGGTTTTTTTAGCTAAAATAATATTTTTCTCATACAACAATTCAACCATAACAATATTTTTCAGTCAATTTCAATTAAAATTCTACCAGCCGAACGGGACCCTACCATGCAGGAAAGGCATGCAGCTGCGCCTCCGGGATGATGCGCGAGCTAGCTAGGAACACGGATTGGAGGTCGGAGCCGATCGAGGAGGGCGCGGCGCCGGCCTGGTGGGTATAGCCGCGCCGCCGTCGTATAGACGGGCGCGCGCGTGGCGTGAACGACGTGTAGCCAAACCATTGGAGCTTGGAGCGCTGCCATGTGTTGACCTTGACCTTGACCTTGACCATACGTGACTTTGCGTCGTACGCGTGCACGTAGTAGCTAGGGACGCGAACAGGCACAGTTTCATGCAGTACGTAAACGAACGCGCGCACGCACGTACTATATATACGTGCCGTCACCGGCTCCATTATCGGCCACACATGCTGACATACATGCATGTCATGTGCATGGGATGGATGGGAATGCTGTCCCGTCTGGGCTGCTGCTCGCTTGCACGTACTGTACAGTACTACTACGACGCGCTTGCTCATCACTAGGAGTAAAGTACGTACACCTACCAGAGAGCAGCTAGCTACTACTAGCTCGTAGTAGCTCTGAAGTTAGTGC